ACCGCAAATTAAAATAATGGAAAGGTTTTAGTTCAGCATAAGCCGACGATGATATTTCACGCAACAAATTGGCAAATGAGAGTTCATAATCTGCCAGCATAGTAACACCAAATTGAACAGAGTTCTCCCGTAAGTAAACGAATAAGGACCGTGATGAAGGGGAACCACAAGATACTAAGCACTATATTTTTTTATGCAGCCACGTACGGAATGCCACATAGCCTGTTTATCTTTTCGTGTTCATCTCAAAACGAGCAACTAAACCAGTAATTGCGTGTTGAAATTAATTGTGTAGCAGAAAAGATTCAGGTTCCAAATGGCCAAATTGGAGTGAGCAGAGATTTTAGGGCTTACAAGGTAGTTGGTAAGATAGAGAATAAGTTTAAAGTTTCCTGTCATCGTTTACATACTTCCTTGTGTACACTGCATATCTGCTGTAATCTCGAGGGACATATGGCTGAGGTGTAGGATTGTCTCATGATGCCTTATTAAGAGTTCGGGACTTATCTGATGAAGTAAACATGAATACTACATGTAATTTTCAAACCCAACAATATTTGAGAATAGCACTACACAAAGATGCGCCGGCAGTCACACTGCTGTTCATAAAATATAATTGTTGTTCTTCCATTTCCCACTCCATTCTAGATTTTTACGGAAGGCTCCTTGGTATAGCTTCGATAAGATACCGCCTTGAAATAAGCAGAAACAATGGGATATGTCAAAATAAAGGATATATAGCTAAATACCACGCACTTTAGCCCGTGATTTTGGAAACGTGTTTAAACTATCTCAGGGCGTACCGCCCCCTTTAAGTCATCTGCACATTAGTCATGAGCGCGAAGTACGACAGGGCTATAACGGTATTTTCTCCTGACGGACACTTGTTCCAAGTCGAATATGCACAGGAAGCTGTAAAAAAGGGATCTACCGCGGTAAAAAATTATTTTTAATAATACGATAGATTGGTGTGAAAGGGAAGAACTGTGCAGTCCTGTGCGTTGAAAAAAAAGCTA